GATCTGGGCTTTAAGAGAATTATCAAGTCACCACTCTCAGGACAAGAACGTTTTTTCTGCCGTGATCCAGACTGATGGGGCTGCCTGTCCCAGAAAGCTCTCTGCTCATCATTCCCCATGGATACGGAATGCCTTTTTAGGCAGGACACCTGCACTGGCAGTGTTGCTCATTAATTTTTCTGCAGGCACTAATTAGGGGCCTCAAGTCCTCCTCGCTTGTTGTGCCTTTCATGTGTCAGCTCCACTTCTTCCATCTGCTTCTTTTTGTTTCTCTCTGTTTGGTGATGACTCCTCTGTGGAATCCTCCCCCTTGTGTTGGAGACCCCCGGGGTGGCCGGTGGCTACTGTCCCACAGCGGGTGTTGGGGGCTCCTGTGGCTCCGCGCTGTGAGCCCAAGGTCTGGGCTGGGTGAGTGGGTGAGGTGTGAAGCTGGTGTTAGAATCATAGAATCATAGAATTACCCAGAATTACCTCCAAAGGCCATCTAGTCCCACCCCCCCGCAGTCAGCAGGGACACCCCCAACTAGACCAGGTTGCCCAGGGCCTCGTCGAGCCTCTCCTTGAATATCTCCAGGGATGGGGCCTCAACCACCTCCCTGGGCAACCTGTTCCAGTGCTCCACCACCCTCACAGTGAAGAACCCTCTCCTCATCTCCAGTCTAAATCTGTTCCCCTCCAGCTTGAAGCCATTGCCCCTCGTCCTGTCACTGCAGGCCTTTCTAAACAGGCTCTCCCCAGCCCTCCTGTAGGCTCCCTTCAGGTACTGGAAGGCTGCTATTAGGTCTCCCCGGAGCCTCCTCTTCTCCAGGCTGAACAACCCCAGCTCCCTCAGCCTGTCCTCATAGCAGAGGTGCTCCATCCCCCTGATCATCCTTGTGGCCCTCCTCTGGACCCGCTCCATCAGGTCCATGTTGACGGCTCCAGACCTGCACACAATACTCCAGGTGAGGTCGAGGTTGACACCCCCAACTAGACCAGGTTGCCCAGGGCCTCGTCGAGCCTTTCCTTGAATATCTCCAGGGAGATATGTGTTCATGGAGGGACTGTGTAAGAGCCACCTCTCACAAGGTCCAGCTCCCCCAGCTGACCAAGAGCTCTCTGGGCTGTCATTTAGACCAGAAGCAGGGTCTGGTCTTTCAGGGAACTTGATTTCCTCCAGGAATCTGGAGTATCTCATCTCCTAAACTAACCCCCTCCCCACCCAATCATGAGGACATCCAGCTCATGGTCAGCACCCTCCTCACACCTGCTGGAGCCATCTACTCCCTTTATATACCCAAAAGAAACCTCTCAAACTGCTCCTGAGCAGGCTGGTGGCTTGGCTTGGAGGAGCAGGGACCCAACAATGGTTTTATTTGGTCTGTTCTGTGTCTGTAGCTTTCCTTCTCTCCTTCACATTTTTTTTTTTCCCTTTTCTCTACTTCTTTTGATTTTGCTTCCTGTTTTATCTTGTTTATTCCTCTGCAGAGAAGGAGAGCGAGGGAGAGGGATTCCTTTGAAAAGTCTGGTTAAATGAACCACTGTGGGAGTCCAAATACTCTTTATAGTCAAGCAAGCTGGTGGAGCAGCGAGTGCCAGAATATTAAGCTGCAGGCTGAAGGGTGACTGCAAAGAGCAGCCCCTACAGCCCTTTTTGGGGGTGAGAAGGGGACGAGACACTCATTTGCCCAGAATTCAATCCCACTCCAAAGGCACAAGCCCAAACCTTCAAAGAAGCTTCAAACGGTTTGACGTCCAGATTGTGTTTGAGCATGGCAGACGCATGTTTTTGGGTTCAGTTCAGCCATGGCAGCATCTACATTTTTGGGTTTCATTAGTTTCTAGCGGGCTGTACGTTTGTGTGCCTCGCTCTGCTCCGGCAAGGTCTGCAGCTGAGCTCTGGTCCTGCTCGCTCTGCCAGAATGCATGGTTTTTTGGCTGCTGCGTGTTTTTTCGTTTTAGTCTTTTTTGGCTGTTCTAGAAGCAGCTGGGCACAAAATGACTTTCATTCCAATATCGTTATTTTCATACCACAGGCTTCCAGCTAGTTAGTGCCATAGTGAGGAGAGCCGAGGGGGGGTGTGTGGGGATAGAAATGACATTTCCCTTCAGTACAGAAAATAAACACACAAAATCAGAACCAGAAGCTCTCAAGAGAGATCCTGTCACTTTTGTGTAACCCCAAACACCAGCTGCTTCTCTGGCACCGCATCTTCACCTGGGAGGTGTCACCTGAACGTGTCCTCTGCAAAGCAGAGGGAAGACCATATGTAATGCAGAGGCAATTCTGAGTTTCAGGTCCCCCTTCCCCTCTTTGGGTGGATCTCACGAGGGTGGGCACTGCAGATTCCCCTGACTGTAACAAACCTTCTTCATGCAGCCCGCTGCTTCTGAGCTGCAAGTCTCCATCAGCACGTTTGTTCTGTCTTCTCCAGTCTTGACAGCACTGTAAAGGCTGTGCCCACTCCAGCGTGGCACCTAGCGTGCTGGAAAAAGCTCTGTAAATTGAAGCAGGTGATGCTGTGGCCCCCACGTCTCCCCAAGGTGTGTTTTGGGAGGCTTATTGTGGGCAGTTTAGTCTGTCGTGCTGCACAAATGCTGGCAATGCATGTGATTGAAGCCTTGGTGGAGGGAAGCTGGTCCTGCACAGCCCCTGCTCTCAGCTGAGACCCCCCAGGACAGATCCTGAGATGCTTCACGCTGTCCCTTTGTCACAGCTCGCAGGGGATGGTGTCCCCACCGTCCTTCCAAGTGCAGAAATCAGCCTGAATTGCTCCTGCTGAGGCTGCTTCAGAGCAGCAGGGGTGGATGCTGCTCCCCCATCCCACTCCAAAGCAGAGGGGCAAGAGCTGATGGATAAAACCCATGAGATGAGTCCCTTCTGTCCAGTGTAACACATTCAGGCACCCGCCCGTGCAGCTTTTGCTCTAAAAACATGGTACCTACAGACAGCAGCAGCACTGGGGGAGTCGAGGGGCTCAGACCCCCCTTAAATGCTCTTCTGCCCCTCCACTACAGCCCCACAGTTCTCCTCCCCTCTCCTTCCCACTTAGGGGGCAAAAAGGCACTCGACACGCTGTAGAGGTGGGAGCAGAGTATTGACTGCTTGCCACGAGGTGGGAAGGACCACCGAGGACATCCTTCCTTCTCCACATTCCTGCAGCTGTGGAAAGACAGGCTGCTGTCTGAAAGCTGTGATTATGGCCGGCTCCCGCTGCCCTCTGCCCTCCCAGCCCCAGCCCTGATTCACAGAGGTCAGGCTCTTTCCTGCCTGGTACTTTTGATCTATAAAGCTCTGCTTGTCAGCAGTGACCCAGCAGCAGAAACGCTCATGTCCCTGCAAGAAAGGAGCCTGGTGCTGGAAACTGAGGATATAAGAGCTTGCCCCCATGGGCTTTAACATCTCTACTTCACCCTGTGCAAGGATCCAGCTCAGATACTTGATGATAAATGGTCTTGGAGGCTGTTTCACTTGCCTTAGCCTCTTGAGAGGTTTTGGTTGCTGTTAATTCTGACTCATTCTTCCAGAGCTGCTGATGGGATGTGTGTCTTTACTCTGCCACAATCCATCCCCGAGGGCCATTTGAGCAGGAAGAGCCTGGGAAGTTCAGTGTACAAAAAAGAAAATCAGCAGCAGCAAGGGAGGCATCACTGTGGTTGCAGCAGAGCTAACAGCTGAGTGACCTTTCCACACTGACACCCCAGGGGAACAGGAGAGCACTGCGGGGAGCTGCGGGGCCACTCCAGCCTGTCCCTGTTGAGGACCATCCCAACACCATCATCAGTAGCATCTCCAAAGCCCATGAGGGGAGGGTTTGTGCTGCAGCCCCCGGCAGTGGGGTGAGCAGCCAGCCCTGGCACCTCAGTCCTGCCACTTCCCAGCCCACTCTGCAGGCAAACGGAGCGTTCTCTCTCCTGCCAAGCTTGTCTGTTTGGTCTGTTCCAGCCCCAGCTGTCACCCCTCCTGCTTATGGTTAGACAGCCTGACACCCCCAGTGCACCCGCAGGCTTTGCTGGGTTTCTTGCATCTCTCCAAAACTGCAGGAGCTGGAAGGGGGCAGGCACCCAGCTGACATCCCAGTGAGGACATCACTCCTTCCTATACCTACAGTCAGCACAGCTCAGGTTTGTCATCCAGTGCTAGAGATTTGCTTATAGGGTGACCTAACACGGGCCATGGGGAGTTTAAACTGACCGCTGGACCAGAAACGGCATTTGTATGGACTGCCAGCTGAGATTCAAAAGTCTAAAACGTGCTGGATGATAGAAGGGAGATGTGCTTGCCAAATACTGCTGTGCTCACGTGGAGAGAAGGAAGACAGAGTGATTACACCTCACGAGGAGGATGAGAACGAACGCGGGTGGAGAGGACTCAGCAGTGACACTTGGGAGCCGCCGGTTGCTACTGGTCAAGCAGGACCACAGTTTTGTTCACTAACATTTGCAAAGGCTCTGGGGGCCCTGCAGAGCAAGAGAAGAGCACAGTGATGCTGAGGGCTGCTCTTGGCATTGTGCCTCGCTCGGTTTCCTTCCTCCCAGACTGCAGATGGGCATTTTCACGCTCCTGCAGCCTCGCAGCAGCTCTCAGCCAGTGCCTGAGCTTTTCTCCTGCTGGTACCTCAGTTGCTCCCATTCCTCCAAGAGCCTTCATGGTGCAGCTGAAGTCTACGACCTGAGAGGGAGAGTAGACATGAAATATTAAGTCAAAGGCTGTATTAACCTCACAGCTATTGGCACGGTGAGGACTTGGGCTGCTCGTGCCAGCTCAGACTGGTGGGTCGGGCACAGACAACCTGCAAAGGCTCCGCAGCGTTTAAGGATTCAGGATGGAGTGAGAGGTTACTCAGGGCAGGTGTTTCAGCTCCAAAAGGCATACATGCAGCCAAGTCCTCTGCATTTTTCACTCAAGTAGACGTGTGAGTGTATTTCAAGAGCTAGAGAGACACATTAGAACACAAACAGAAGTACGACATTTTGAGGGGATGCCGGGTTTGACTATAGAAATGAAGAGAGTCAAGCACTATGCATTTTCCAACGATGTTTATTTGTTTCTGTAGCCCACTGACACAGCTGGATCTGGCAATGGAGCAGATTCTTGTTTCCTTAAAGTGTCTATGTGACATTAAGTCAAGGCGAACACTGTAGTCAAAGGCATTTCGAGAGGGCAGCAGCAGAAGCAATGGGAGGTGTTGGAGGAGGCTGTGCAGCAGGATTAGAGGCCAAGGGGGCACCTTCCCTCTCGCTGCTGCAGCCAGGACGGGGTGCAGATGCGCACATCATCTTTTTTTGGTTTTTCTGTACCAGACAAACACAGCACCATGCAACACAATCTGCAGTTGGGAATGGGTGGAGAGCAGGATACGGGTAGTTATTGCAGTCTGCTGTTGGGGACGCAGGGCTGCCCGTGGCAGGGAGCAGCCTGAGGAGTGACCAGGCTGCTGGCAGTGGGACACGAGCTTGCTGAAGGGAACCACAACTCTCAAGATGCATCTACTGGGATAGACCCCTCCCTCAGAGCCAGACCCACTCTGCCGCATTTCAAGTGGAGTTCAAGTATCTAAAATACCATGTAAGAGCCACCTATCTATTTTCTTTACAGCAGGTGGACTACCATGGTGTCTTGACAGGTTAAGGTTCCTTCCCAGGTGCCTTCCCTCCCAGCTCTGGCCCAGACCTTCACGTTCCATGGTGACTTACTGTCCCACCCAGCTGAAGGCAGCACCGCTTCAATCATCATTTCTCTTCCAAAGGAAGATTGGAAGAATACCTTCTCCTAATCCCACTCTGCTGCAACAACACCTCCCCTTCCCCCAGCCCAGGTCCCACACAGCCCGTGTCCCCACGCTGTGCGTGCCGTGGTACCGGTACCGGAGGGTGGCACACGCAGGATTGTTCCCTTTTGCATTTTTATTTTTCACTCAGCCACGGACCTTCCAGCACCTGAATCCTCCTCTGCCAAGTGGTTCCTTCACCCCAAGCCATCCACACAGCAGCAGCCAGCCCAGAAGTCTCCACGGTTGGGGGTGACTCACGCACCCCCCAGTTTGCAGCTGGGACCTTTGCTCAGCCCTAGAGACCGAGAGAAAGGCTTTGGAAAAGGGGGGGGCTGGCTCCCACAGCCAGCACCGTGCCCTTGTCTCAGCCAGTTACTGTACAAAATGGACAACACACACACGTTATTTACAGCCTGGTTTTTTCACATGATGGAGCAGCTCTTGGCTCGGTCTTTCCTGATCTCTGTGTCGCTCAGTAAGTCCGTCCTGCCAGGCATCTGTGACGCCCGTTTCAGTCCCCGTTTGGAGTTGCTGCGCTTCAAGTTCTTGTGCACCCTGTTGACGGAGGCCAGGGTGGTGACGTGGAACACATCCCTCACGCTGTTCTCCGAGACCTTGGAGGAGCACTCTGCATAGGCCACTGCCCCGATCTGCCGCGCCAGCGCGCTGCCCTGGAGAGCGGAGGGAAAGGGAAGAAGGTTAGGAGACCAGGTCTGCAAGGAGAATCTCTTCACATCGCTGTCAGAGCTCCGTGGCAGAGCCAGGAGCAGTTCTCTCCCAGTGTTCACTCATCACCTCTGAAAATCAAGCGCAAACATCTCAAGTGCGACATGGATCTGGGCACTGAGCAGCCCAGAGCGCGGCCTGCACTGCACCTGAGATGGGGTCTCTGGGCCAACCTCAACCTCACCTGGAGTATTGTGTGCAGGTCTGGAGCCCTCAATATAAGAAGGACATGGACCTGATGGAAAGGGTCCAGAGGAGGGCCACAAGGATGATCAGGGGGATGGAGCACCTCTGCTACGAGGACAGGCTGAGGGAGCTGGGGTTGTTCAGCCTGAAGAAGAGGAGGCTCCAGGGAGACCTAATAGCAGCCTTCCAGTACCTGAGGGGGGCCTACAGGAAGGCTGGGGGGAACCTGTTTAGAAAGGCCTGCAGTGACAGGACGAGGGGCAATGGCTTCAAGCTGGAGGGGAACAGATTTAGACTGGAGATGAGGAGAGGGTTCTTCACTGTGAGGGTGGTGGAGCACTGGAACAGGTTGCCCAGGGAGGTGGTTGAGGCCCCATCCCTGGAGATATTCAAGGAGAGGCTCGACGAGGCCCTGGGCAACCTGGTCTAGTTGGGGGTGTCCCTGCTGACTGCGGGGGGGTCGGACTGGATGGCCTTTGGAGGTCCCTTCCGGCCTGGGCAATTCTATGATTCTATGACACAGCTGGGTCCCTGGTGGCCACAGCAGCCCCTCAGATCCCCTGGCTGTGGCTTCTTCCCCCCACAGCACTCCCCCAACACAGAACCCCAGCAGGAGAGTCACTTGGAGCAGAAGGAGCTGCACTGAACTAGGAGATGCAGTAGCACAACACCCCCCTTTCACCAGTCCAACTTGCCAAATCAGGCATCTCCACCACCTTGGAGGAAAGACTGCTCAGTTACTGGCCAGAAGGCTGCTCAGTGGAGCATCAGGAATAAATCAAGGTCTGCCAGAGCTGGGAAAAGAGTGCTGTACGCACGAGCAGCTCAGAGTCCATGAGCCAAGATCAAACCAGCTTCAGACCAAGACCTGGGCACAGTGGGTCATTTCCCACTGAGCTTCCTTCACTAGGAGGTCCTGCAGAAATGTCCCTCCTGCAGAAATGTCCCTCCTCGCCTCCCCGAGCCCCCAGGAGGGCTGTTCAGACAGACCTGCTCGTGTGTCACGGGGATGAGGCGCTGCTTGGAAAGCTCCCGCAGCGTGTTCAGGTCTGTCCTCATGTCCAGCTTGCAGCCAACCAGCACGATCTTCGCGTTGGGGCAGAACTCCTGTGTTTCCCCTTGCCACTGCAGAGGAGACAAGAGGGAGAAGGTGCTCAGGGCGCCTGGTGACACCTCCACGTCAGGTTGATTTTGGCCAGCAGGCAGCCTGGAAAAAGGCTGGAACAACAAAGGCAATCACAGGGTCTCAGCTCATCGCTCCTAAGTCTGTCCAACCAGGTCAAGACACCGTCCAAGACCCCCCAGCCCTGGAGGGGAGGATGAGCCAGGAAAGTCACACTATCAGTTCCTACCAGACAGCATCATCTGGCCAGTGCCTCCGTTCCCCACCGCTGCAGCAGAGCCCACCAGCTTCTCCTGCTCCCACCAGCTTCTCCTGTTCCCACCAGCAACCAGCTCTTCCCTCCGCTGCAGCGGATGATGGCTGCAGCCCAGGCTTCAGGAGCAGGGGCCAGGCACAGGCAACGGTGGTCGCCACGGTCAGGGTGAGGGGCTCCTGGTGAGGATGCAGCTGGGAGCAGCTCTGGAGGCTGAGCTGAAGGTGGAAGCAGAGGGATGGCTGCCTTTGGTGTTGGGGAATAGAACACGAGGCTCTCATGGGACTGGGCTGGAAAGCAGGTTTCAGGAGACTTTTCCAAATAGGGGTCACAGCTGTTTGGAGACTGATTAGCTCATCAGGGCACTTTAATTACTGCTTCAGGCAAGGTTGGGAATGGCCAGAGTGCCTCTTGGACAAGACATGCCCTGCAAACCTGCCAAACCTGAGCTGCAGTCCCCAAGCTGGGCCAGGGGAGAGGAGACCCCTCCTGGGTACGACAGTGGAAAAACGATGACAGCACAGTCTGGTGCACACATCTGGGACTGCAAAGGTCAACCTTGCTTGACTTCTTGAACTACAGTCAGCGGGGAGCTCTCTGCTCAGCACACTCATTATTTGCTTGTTATTGGGAGCCACATGTCAAAAGCATTAAGAGATTCGAAGTGGAGCTACAGCCAGGGAAATAAAGAGTCGAAGCAATGGAAGGAGAAGGCCAGGGCAAACATCCACATCCTTTGCACTAACGGTCCCTTTCAGAGCTCCAGAAATGAATGCCCAGGGTGCAGCTAAGTGTCTGTGGCAGTAAATAAAACCATCACCTGTGACTTCCCTGTACAGCCCCATCAGCACGTCCACACCCTGGTTACTCAGCTCATGTCTCTGGAGCAGGAGGCAGATGATAAATAGCGATTAGCCCTGGCTGCGCTATCAAGGCTTGTCAGAATGAAGGCACCACCCCACGAAAACCCACTTTGTATGAAATGAAGAGCTGCTTGTTTGCCTTCTCTCAGATGGCTCCTTCCCTTCAACTGTACATGCCGTACAAGCAGCCCAGGCATCAGAAGGGCAGCAATAATAAAGATTTCCTCTGCTGAATTAGCATTTTTGCCCGAGGCTTGAATAGGGAGTGTTATTTTCCTTATTCGCCTTATATCAAAAGCTAAAACCCATTTCAACTTCATGGTGTCTTAGGAATTTTCCTCACCTCCATAAGCTGCAAGTCTGCACCAAAGGAAACACGGCGTCTACTCAGAGGCACTTATGAAATCACCTGTGATTTAGGGTTTATTTTAAGTCACCATATCAAAAAGACATCACCCAACAGTGCTCAAAGCATCTGTGGGGCTGCGCAGGGAAGACGCTGAGCACGGCGGACTCACACCAAGTAATAAACAAATCCCAACCCCAGCTAATTATTGATGGGTTTGCATCTCATTAAGGTATAAGTGATTTGCTTGCATTATTATTCTGCTGACTCCTGAGCTGAGCGGCGAATTCTTTTGGTCCCCGTGAAACGCGCCTCCCTCCACCCAGCACGCCTGGTACCCGGGTCCTGCCTTGGAAACCAACACTGAGCCATTGACCCCAACATCTGAAGGGTCTTTGTCCCCTCACCAGGACGCTGCTGAGACACAGACCCACTTCCCAGCCCTCCCAGCAGCTGAGTAAGAGGCACTCGCTTCGGCACAACATTTGGAGAGGCCAAGAGGGCAGTCAGTACAATGTGGCTTGTTCAGGCGGTGGCCAGTCCAGCACCGGCAGCCCCGGGGGTTCTCTGGGGAGGGCAGGGACAGGAATCACTGTTCTGGAGCACTTTTCACGCCTTGGTGTCTCAGAGAGCTTCACAAACGAGATGCCAGCCAAAGACTTGCCTCTGGGACAGGATGCAGACACCACGAGCTCTCTGCAGCTTTGCCACACAGCGCTGAGGGCTCCCGGAATTCCATGGAAGGAAGCAGGGAATGGCCAGGACCAAGGGATGCGGGTGGCCAGGAGGCCTTTTACCCTTTTCCTGGACAGCATCCTAAGGTGCTGGACTTGATGCCACCTTGGGGTAAAGCCTCGCTTGGGAACCTCTCCCCAGGAGCCACCTACTCCCCCAGAGCGTGGAGGCAGGGACCTGCTGGGGTGCTGTTCTCCCAGTGGACCCCCAGCCCCGTGGGGCTCCCCAGGACCTGCCAGACACAACACCTGGAAACATCTGCTTTGCTGAAAGGCACAAAGCTGCCAGTAGAAAATTCTCAGTGGCTGGGCAGCTCTGTGGGGTGGCCAGTGCTCGGGGCCCGGCGTGCTGCCCAGTGGCAGTGGCGTTCTGCCATCTCATTTTTTTCATTCACGAGTCTGAAATTCAGTGCCACAGCTCATTATTCTTGTTGTCATGCCACAGGGAACCAATCACTGTCTTTCTTACCCTGCAGATGCTGAAATGCTGAACTGAGGGAAGCACCAAAAAACTCTCTACTCAAAACTCTCTCCTTGCATGGCAACAGGCACCAGGGGCTACTTCTCGATGGCTGCAAGCAACCCAGAACCACACACTGGTTCTGCTACCAAGAGCTGGACAAGTCACCATCCCTGGATGTGTTTAAGGGATGTTTAGATGGGGTACTGAGGGATATGGTTTAGGGGAGGACTTTGTAGAGTAGGGTAGATGGTTGGACTCGATGATCCCAAGGGTCTCTTCCAACCTGAATGATTCTATGATTCTATGCTTCTAATGCTTCCCAAGGTCGTCATGAAAAACAGAACAAATGCCCTCCTTTTCTCTCTGTCCCCACATTTGTACGTGCAGACACACAGACGTCTCCCCCCCCCACCTTGCTGCCAGGGGCCACGAGCTGCACCGGTCACTGGGCTCCTTTCCAACAGAAATACCTTGCTTTCTGCACAGACCATGTAGGGACCATGACACAAACCATGTCAGCAGCAGTTGACCATCCTCACCTGAGTGCACACACACGCCAGCCACAGCTTGGCCACAGGGCCAGAGCTTTTAGCCCCGATGACAGTTTCAGGGATCTGGGACCCCAGGGTGGCTGCTGCAGGGGAGACCATCCCCATTGGAAGGCACGGCAGGCACTCACCTTCTTGAGCACACTGTCCAGGGTCTCCGGGCGGCTGATGTCAAAGCAGATGAGCACAGCATCCGAGTCTGGGTAGGCCAAGGGACGGACGTTATCGTAATACGCCGAGCCTGCAGAGAGGAGCGGGAGGGAAGAGGTTAACAGGAATTCCCATCCCACCTGGAGGGGCAGAGTAGGACCCCAGCCCTCTCTGCCAGGCAGAGATCTTTAACTCCAGTAAGAACTGGAGACCTGGAGAGGTTTGCCACACAACGCAACGCTCTGTCGGAAATAAAGGATGTTGCCCCAAGCTTTCGACCAGTGACCAGACACCACCAGGTTCAGCAGAGTTTGATTTCCTGAGGATTTGGTCCCTTTGTTTAGGCACGAAGAGTCCCAAGTTTTGACCTTGTGCTCTTACGTTTATCCCTTTGCAGAGTGGAAATAAGTGTGAGTTTTGCATCCCTCTCCCTAGTACATGTTGGCACGTAGGAGCTGGAGCTGTGCTGCCGGGGCTGCGATGCTGTGGAGCAGCACATCCCTCTCTGCCACTCGTGCCTGTATCCCACGGCTCGTCACGCCGGCGCTGACGGTGAAAGGTGTGGCTGAGAGAAGGCAGGGAATGCTGCTGCTATTTTTTATCCTCTTTTGCTATCTTTACACAGGCGAGCTTGCTCCTGTGGATTGTGAGAATGTTAAGGCAGGTGAAAAAAGAATTGCCTTTTGCTCTAGGTTTGCGGCTGGAAGAAGTCAGACAGATTCTTTTTCGGTGTGTAGAAGATGTGACAGGATTTGGTGAGCAAGCTGTAAATCGGAGGGGATGATATTCCATATTCTGCAGGATTTCTCAGCGAGCAGGCAATGAGCCCAGCCTGGATCCTGCACAGCTCCTGCCGCACACACGCGCACAAACACACACACACTCATGCACCTTCGATGCAAATTTCAGGCATTAAACTCATTGTCCCATAATGGTTTTTTTTTTGAAGTGCATTTTGTGTGCAATTGTAGATGCCTCAGTAAACAGTAATGGAGCAATCAGCTCGCTGCTACTTAAAAACCCTGTTTCGGTTTTATATTTGGCTTTACAATGGCTTAAACTTCCTGGAGGGATGAGAAGCAGATGTTTATTTATGAAAAGGGGAAGCAGAGACACCAGAGCCCTTGTTGAATCCGCCTCCTCGGAAGGGTGAAGGAAGGATCGCCCACCCCGAGGCCGAGGGAACCGGACACACATCCTGGCCCCGGCCCTCGGGACCCCCGGCCCCGACATGTTCCCACCCCGGCAGGAGGGAGGGGGACCCAGCTGGGTGTCAGGTGGCTCCTTGATGGAGTTCATCCCCCCCATGAATTATGGATGACAGTGGCTTATGTTTCCAGGAGGATGGGAATCTGTCTGGGGTAAGCGTGAGAGGAGAATAGGCTGATTCTCCACAGGGGCTCCAACTCTGGCTCTTGTCTGCAGGGGGGCTCCCAGCTGATGCTCAGCACAGAGGGGGCACAGCTCTGCACAGCGGGTGCTTTGCAAACACCTTGGACCCCTCTGTGGGACTCATCCAGGAGAGAAGACCTGGCTGGGGCTGCCCAGAACCCCCCCGGGCAGGCTGAGGAGATGAGCTGCCATCCCAAACATCCCTGCCCAGCTCCAGAGACTGGCCACGTGCCCTCTCCTTGCCACCAGCTCACAGCAGGTCCCAAGGGCAGCCCCCACAGGGACCCCACAACACAGAGCACAGGGCACCCTCAGCCCTGGCCGTGCCCCCACAGCCCCCCCTGCTCTCATGGGGCACAGGGCAGGCGCCAGGGATTCGACAGGCATTTGGATTCGCAGCAAAATCATCTACAGACATCTGTGGCTCTTACAGGCAGGCACTCCGCTGCCAGCCCCAGGGGGAAAGGCACCCACACCCCCTGCCCCAACCCGCTGGGCTCTGTCCCTGTAAAGTCACGGGGACGAGCAGCAGTTGGGATCCAGCACAGAAAAATCAGCCCCTGATCTCTGCAGAGCCCGGCCCCCTTCCCAGAGGGAAAGTCATGTTCCCTGCATGGAAAGGAGCCAGTCCCCGCGGTGCCTCGGCCAGCTCTGGGGATGGGGGCTGGTGCACAAGGTGGGCACAGTGACCAAGGGTGACTCTACATCCCAGGAGATTTCTGACCCCACTTCAGCTCAGGGCTGGCAGCGCTGGATGCTCCCCCCGTGCTCCCCCGTAGCACAACTGGGACCCAGCTCCCACTGCTTTCGAAGCAGCACCAAGCCCAGCAACACAGAGCCCCCCTTTGGGCCATTTTCAGCCCCCTGCCTGCTGTGGGTTTACTGGTCGGGATGTGAGATCCAGCAGGATCTGCAGGCTTGGATTTGCTGGGTGCTTTACCCGAGCCATGCCCTCTCCCCCCTGCCCACGGGGGCATCTGCCTGCAGACAAGGGCCCCTGGCGCACGCTGGAGGAGAGCGGTCCCACACACATCCTCTCCCTGCAGCTCCTCAATTTTACATAAACACTGCAGATAAATCTGCCCCCTCCCAGCCCAGGAATGCTCCTTTTGTAGAGGTGGTTTTGGCTCCATTCAGCACAGACATTGCCACAGCAAACTGTATCATAGCAACCCGCTGCTCCCCTCCGCAGCCGCTGCTCCTCACCACGATGTGCAGCTGAGCAAACCCCTCGGTCACCCCCCAGAACCACCCCCACCTTGGTGCCATCAACCAAGCCCTCACCACTTGGGACCACGGGAGGAAAGACCCCTGTGTTGGTGGGAGGCACTGATGGAAGGGACGCACTGGGTCAAGAACCTAATTTTCTTAATTAGATGAAAATTGCCTTCACGTTCGTTAACTTTCTGCTCCAACTCCAAAGAGCAGGAGCAGCCCCTGGCACCTTCCCTGGTATTTCAACCCACCGGCTGCTCCGGAGGTGGGAAACAGCCAAGACTCTCAGCCTTGGCTACTGGAGACCCACGGCCAGTGCTGCCCAGTGGGGCAGGAGAGCTGTGTCCTCCACACACAGGTAACCCCCATCTCCAGCTTGCTTTGGAGATGTCGCTACTGAATCAGCAAATTCTGTTCGCAGCAAATTTCTATTCTTCTGGTTTTTTGCATCTATTACTTTTTCATTGAGTACCACAATCAAAAAAAATGCCCAAAACAGTCTCAGCTTCCTCAGCTCCAGGTTTCGAGCTTTATTGATTCCCAGAGCTCACCACCTTTCAGATATTCCAGCAAGACACCCCAGAGACCCAGAGTCTGGCACTTCCAAACACAGAGGCACCCCAGGTTGTGTGTCTGCAGACCCAGACTTCCTTTACTGCATGAATCACTCTTCCACTTGGCACCCAAGTTTGCAAGAAACAGGACCTATGCGCATCTGTTCGTGATTAAAGAGAGAAAACTGGAGCAAGCCAGAAAACAGCTTAAAAATAAAATCCATGCGGTTGTTGTCTGAAATTCGGGGGCAGATACAGCCCCTTCCTTATCAGCTGGCAGCCCCTCGAAGTGCCTGGCACTGTGACTCAGAGACCCAGCTCTCGGGCAGGGGACTGAAATGTACTGCTTCATCTTCATTTGTTCCTTATTAGCTGTTCTGGGCGATAATGAGCCTCCTCACATGGGCACCCTCCGTCCAACAACAGCACATTACAAACCAGGAGAGCAAATACTCCTGCAGAGCCCTGATCTGCTGGGCAAGGGGCTCCTGCAGCCCCAGCCAGCTCTGGCTTAAAAGGGAGACGAGCAGTGCCAAGACCTGAATTTTTCAGCATCGCACTTGTCTCGAAGGGCTCACTCTAAACCCTCCCCACGGAGCCAGCAGCGCTGCGGCGCACGCTGCTTTCTGCAGGGCCAGCCAAGAACATCCTTCACAGAATGAAGCAGAAATTCATCGCAGCTTTCTGGAGCGCCGCATCGACAAGCCCAAAGGGGCTGGTGTTACCTCCCTGCACCGTGGTGCCAGACGAGCAACGGCCGTTGGAGACTACAGAAGGTATTTTTGGGGGACAAACCCCACTGCCAGTTCAGCCAAGCCTTTGTCCGGAGGACAGAACTGTCAAAGGAGGACCATGGGGCGGCTGTCTCAGTACCCTCTCCCCATGCATGGCAAGGAGCCAACATTAGACACGAGGAGACCATCCCCTCTGCTCCCGGGGGTCCACATCACCAAGCTTCCCTGGCCATGTGTCCCCCCAGCGCTCCCCAACACGGGGACTCCATCCCTTTGGAACTGCCATGCACCAGCACGTGCTCAATGTTTACCAAGATGACCCAGAGCTTTCTGGAGCTGAATTCACAGCTCCAACAGCCTTTTTGATGCCCCTGTACTGGGCACTGGTGAGGCCCCACCTTGAGTACTGTGTCCAGTTTTGGGCCCCCTACCACAAAAAAGACATCGAGGTGCTGGAGCGGGTCCAGAGAAGGGCGACAAAGATGGTGAGGGGTCTGGAGAACAAGTCTTATGAGGAGAGGCTGAGGGAACTGGGGTTATTCAGCCTGGAGAAGAGGAGGCTGAGGGGAGACCTTATTGCTCTCTCCAACTCCCTGAAAGGAGGGTGTAGAGATGTGGGGGTCGGTCTCTTCTCTCAAGTCCCAGGCGACAGGACAAGAAGAAATGGCCTCAAGTTGCGCCAGGGGAGGTTCAGGCTGGATATTGGGAAAAATTTTTTCACCGAAAGGGTTCTCAGCCATTGGAATGGGCTGCCCAGGGAGGTGGTTGAGGCACCATCCCTGGAGGTGTTCAAAAGACGGGTTGATGTTGTGCTGGGAGACAGGGTTTAGTGATGGTGATGCTTTTTGTTTGTTGTGTGGGTGTTTATTTTTGTCAAAGTGAGGTTGACAGTTGGACAAGATGATCTTTAAGGTCCCTTCCAACCTAGAAGATTCTGTGATTCTGTGAAATTTATCCGAGTGACTACTTACCAAAGGCAAAGGCAGAGGCCATGGCTCTGAGCCCCCCTCACCGCGCCGGCTGGGCAGGGGCTGTCCCCACACCTGCAGCATCTCGGCACGGGAGCTGATGCCCGTGTCCCACCACCGTGTTCTGCCCCAGCACCACCACTCCAGGACCAGTTAATGCTACGTGAGGACCCACTCCGTGTGACAGTTTTCACAACCAGTTGTTCCTCTGCTGGGGCAGATGATGAAGGTGTTCATAATAAGAATAGGTTTTATTTATATCACACCTTTAAGACTGAACATGAAATCTCTGTCTGGTTCACAGAGGTGCTGGGCTGGGAACAACCCACCCAGCTGCTCCGAGATGGGTCCACAGCCATGGGCAAAGCTGTGGCCGGGGAAGGGGCAAGCAGGAGCCCAGCAGCACTGTCCCAGCCCCATAGCAGTGGGGTCTCCAGGTGCCATTTGCATCAGAAAAGCCCCCAGCCCCCACTGCAGCCCAGCCATTGTCCCCTCCCAGGGCGCAGGGAGGGGAAGCATAAAAATGCTGATGGAAACCCTGGCCGTGCATGAAATGTCCCAAGTGGCAGCCGTCCCAGCCCCCCGCTGCAGGGGCCGGTCCCCATGGTGAGGCACAAAAATCTCAGCTGGTTTTCTGAGACGCCCAGGACACTCCAGAGCTGCTGCTTCCTCTGCAGATGCAAGAAGAGGGCACGGAGTCACCCTAAAATATTTCCCACTGCTAGAAAAGGGGAAATCAGCCCAGAGACACAATGCAGAGTTTGTGGCAGTGGGCAAAAAGGAATTCGGCCGCAGGGAACACGGAAAAGCAGCAGTTAAACAGCCCCAAAGGTCATGCCCAGCCCCTTTATCCTGCTGTGGGCAGACCAGGAAGGGAGTTTTTCTTCCGTGGTCCTTTTACTCAACTCAGCAACCTCACCAAGGCCAGCCAGCACCCGTGGGAAGGGGCAGGTCAGGGACCCAGCCAGGAGCCCCCCGAGGGGGGACACTTCAGGCCAGATCTCCCCTTTGCCAGGATGAAGCTGCCCACGCTGACACAACCCATCATCCATGTCCACTGGAGCTGTTGTGCCCATGGCCACCTCCACCTCCAGGGTGGCCCGTGGCATGGCCCCAGCAGCTCCTGGGTTTCTGTGGGTACCTCCTGCTTGCTCCGTTCCCCAGCCATCTCCTCTGCAAGGCACCCACTGGAGACAGGGTCTCCCAGAGCCCAGGAACAGGCGTCTACCACTAAGAGACCATCTCTCACCCAGGAGGAGCCACGAGCACGGTCAGCTCTGCAGCCACGGCTCCCTGCCTGGAGGATTTTAGTTGCCTTTCTAAAGGCAGAAGGCAATGTTCAAAGAGCAACACCTCAGTGTGCCCAGCGTAGGACAGACCAGAATATGCAAATGCCCTCCTCATTCCTGGTATCATTAATGCTGATGGACTTTATAAACAGGAGACCAGGAAATTGGCAGAAGGCAATGTTCAAAGAGCAATACCTCAGTGTGCCCGGTGTAGGACAGACCAGAATATGCAAATGCCCTCCTCATTCCTGGTATCATTAATGCTGATGGGCTTTATGAACAGGAGACCAGGAGATTGGCCATTGCAGCCTCCCAGACTATGATAGCTGCACATCTGAACCATCTCAAGTTCAGAGACCAACTTCATCCTCCCAGTGTGAAATCAGACCCCCATTCCTGAGAGAAAATCAGAGGAATTTTTTTGTTTGAAGCTCGATAAACTGCAGCAATATTCCTGAGCGCTTGCAGGACCCACTCAGCCGGGGCTCAGAGACAGGTTAAGGATCCCTGACCCTGCTTGGCTGGTCACTGTCTGGAAGGGGAGAACAATGCAAATCCTAGTGATACAAAAATCATGTTTCTGACAGTAATATAGTGCTCATTAGAGTCCAGCCCAGAAGAGTGACAAGTGGCAGAGACAGGAATTAAAGCGCTGGTGACAGACTCAGAGGTCGGTGATGACGGGCTCTGGCAGCAGAGCAGTCCGAACCCCAGACCCAACAACTCCAAGGTCACCATTACAGAAGAGGCAGCAATTAGTGACATGAGAGATTACAGTGAGTGGCGCTGAGAGCAAAACAGACCTGGTGAAATAGAGTCAGAGCCACCACGGTGCCAGGTTCCACCCGCAGCTCAGACCTGGCTGTCGAGGCACAAGATGATTCAAGGTTTGGAGCATCTCTCCTATGAAGAAAGACTGAGAGAGCTGGGACTCTTTAGTCTGGAGAAGAGAAGGCTGAGGGGAGACCTTATTAATGCTGACAAGGATCTCAAAGGCGGGCTGAGGGAGGAGGGAGCCAGACTCTTTTCAGTGGTTCCCAGTGAGAGGACGAGGGGCAACGGGCACAAGTTGGAACAGAAGAGGTTCCACTCAAATGTGAGGAGAAACTTCTTCACGGTGAGGGTGGCAGAGCCCTGGAACAGGCTGCCCAGGGAGGGTGTGGAGTCCCCTTCCTTGGAGATTTTCAAGACCCGCCTGGATGCTCCTGAGTAACATGCTCTGACAAGCTCTAGGCAATCCTGCTTCAGCAGGGGAGTTGGACTAGATGATCTCTATGGTCCCTTCCAACTCCAAAAATTCAGTGAAACCAGGCTGCTAACCAGGAACTGCCCCACAGGCAAAGCCTCAGGAAGGCTTCACCCAAGTGAAGGCCGCAATTTGTTCCTCAGAAGTCAGGGCAGGAGAGAGCTGCACCATGGGGAGAGCCCCAATGCTCTGAGTCTGATGGGCAGCAGAGCTGTCGTGAAATGACACAAATCCCTGCCTGCCAGTGAAAAAGTGGGAAAAACGAGGGGATGAGGCATCCCACTGAAGGTGGAGGGAGACAGAAAGCAGCAGAGAAACCTGCCGGCCACTGCTCCGAGGGGCTGAATGTGGCACGGCCATCGGTCCCAGGGCTTTCACAAGCTTCTCTCATGGCTGGACCGTGACATTTCTCTTGCTTGTCCAACATCACTGCGAACCCCTGGAGTGTAGGAAAGGAGGAAACGGTTCCATGACATGGAACAAGCCATCGCGTGGAAAGTGCATGACTGAAACAACAGCTAATCAGCTTGGACAATTAACCTCTGCTCCAAATTCTTATGATACACATACAAAAAAGCGGACGTTACTAAAGAGCCTAGCTGGGATATCTTCAGGACAGA